GGGAAGTTAGCGGTTCTAATTACTTTAGGACTGAGAAAAATTAATGACTTAGGACATTTCAAACCTGACCTACGTATATTAATTTTCAATCGCCTTTTCCTAACCGTTGAACTGAACTCAGAGTGAGTCCGGAACCGCAGATCGTTTATTTTTTTCTATCAGACTTAATTTTCAAATTGAAACTGCGTAGCAACCAAGAAAATTGTCTAATACAACAGAGTTTGTCGAGAAGTACACACCTATGGTGGTTCCTGCTGGGATTTTCGAGTTAGGATCCAGCTTGTCATCCTCAGGCCATTCTATAACCAGTTTACTTGGCAACCTGAAAGGACAGTTTTACAGTGTCAAAGTGTAGAGTGGGGCAATTGATCTAACAAGGACAACATAACATAGGCAGTGAATTCATTCTTCTCACCCTTGGCTGGAGCTTAAACGTATCAAAAGAGAAGAGTCGCTTTTAATCTGAGAACTCTCCTGACCTCTCCTTACTAGAACGTGTTGGACGATCCAAACTCATTTAGAAGAACGTAACTAAGCCAGACGTCGAATTTTTCATGAAGTTCACTCACTATGTGTGGTTAGTCTCATGAAAATTTAAACGTTTGGCCTAGGCCTGCGATTGATAGAAACAACAAGTAACAAAAGGTGTGTTCTGCTTTACCATGGCAGTCAATTCATCAGTTCCTACTATAGTATAAGTCTTCACTTTGTGAGGAGAGGTTAACTTCCGCTAACCTTAAGGTCATGTTTCACGCAGCAATTATGTCTCGTTTATCCTGTCAAACGGGATGTTTTTGGGAAGGTTTTCGGAAGGGTAATAGCCAATCAGAAAATACCTACCGTATTCGCAAAAGTAGGTGAAGTCACCGGACGGCATTATAACGCTCGGAATTCAGACTTCTCGGCTATCCCCCGCGCGCCCCACGAGTTAGGGGTGGAGAAGTATAACATTTCAGACCAGTCAATTTACAGCGCCAAAACCATGAAAACCATTTGCTTAAAGTCTGTTAATAATTACTATATTCGATTAATTGCTAGAAAGATCAGTATGGTAAAATTATTGTTTTAAAGGTAACTGTTATAAGAATTAAACCATTCGTTAGAGCTAGTTATCAGCTTACTTTGCTTCTTCTTCCTCCACGAACTTTTTAATCGTAGAAAGGCTAAGTGAGCGATCCAGCTTGGCCAGGGAGAAGAATTTTGTGTCTCCATACAAAGAGACTGGCTCCTAGCATAGAAATTTCAACAAGGAACAAGCTTAAACATGTAAATGTCACTGTTATTGGCATTTTAATTGTTGACGGTAAAGGACAACTTTGTGCAGGGTGAAGAGATCTTTCAAACCATACTAGATAAGCACGATTCAGTAAAGGAGACTGGGGAAAAGGCAAAAAACCAGTAAAGCTGACGCGAAAATTCCCATGAAATTCTTCTTCCACTACCCACCTACCTTTCCTTTCATCCTAAAAGCTTTCCCAAAAACTTTTCCCGACAAAATGAATCCTGCTACAGTTGTAAATGCCCGGCAAAAGAAAAAACGAAGCAAGAAGAACGAAAGAAGTGGAGAGGAGAGAAAGTGAAAAGAAATAGTCAGGACTCCTGTGTCACTATTAAACCCATCGGAACTTTGCTTCCTGCGTATGCCCAAAATAATAAGAAGGCCGCCAAGTACAGGACCTGTAAAGGGCTTTGTGGCATGTTTTATCTCTTAACAGCCAGACAGTGACCAGAAAACGGCTCGACTAGCGTTAAAACGCGTTTTTCAGCAAAATTCCCAGGAGTGAATAGGTAAATAAGTGCACCATAATTTTGGACTGACTAGTACGTCAGTAGCTATTTCCAAAGTGAAAAAAACGCAACCTTTATAGAAACGAACTGGGGAGAGTTGGTTTCTCCACAACAAAGACAACACTTCATTTTCCGGAACCTGTACCTAGTACTAATACTAACTAATATTATCATTAGATGAGTATCTGGAACATCTTACGGTCCTTAGACTTGCATTGCTGCAAGCGTTCTTATAGGCCGAGAAGCGGGCAAGCGAGCGACAATTAGCTAAAGGCTCCAAGCCATTGAGAAGATAGATAATAGTGGGCACAATGTGTGATGAATTAAGCTATATTTTAGAAAATAATATGAAAGAGCTGTCAAGATATTAACAAGAAGGAGTTGCACAAGAACTGCTCAAATTACAGTCTAGAAAATCACTTATAAAAACCTTTAGGTACAAAATCAATACAGAATCAAGAGAAAATGTTGTGAGAATTAATAAAATGATCACCTGATGGGAAAAGCTTTGATCTACAAACAAATTCTCTTAACCAATTCTTTAGGGAGATCAGTCTGGAGAACTGGTATTTGAATATTGGGGCTTAAAGAGTTTAACAGTCGTAACAGCATTGTCTATTATACATGGGCATGAAGTGAAGTGGTCTGTAGTAATGCGACCGTGAAACAGATTATCTGAACTATTTCCATCTCTCCTCCAGGGCAAAGACATCTCCGTCATGGTCACCGAAAAGAACAAATCTTTTTACTGTTCTACAAATTAATGGTAAGGTCCTTTGCGTCCTTATCTAAAATGGAATCAAGTCATATAAGTTATTCAACTATAATTAAGTCATTGAATAGAGGAGAATCCTTCACACAGTGGCAATACGGTGACCACAAAACAGCGAGCTTCAAAAGGCGTTTTCCAGCAAAATTACCAGGAGTGGGTGAATGGTTGAATTTACTACAAGTATCCTACATCATTATTGTAACTGCATGGCACATAGAAAGAACATCATACTCTTAAGAAGCTTGCATGGTATAATACTACCGTAAATCCTCTATTAAGCCCCCCTCTCAAATAAGCCCCTCCTCTAAAAAAAGCTCCCCTTTTCAAGGGAAGAAAGTTAATAAGCCCCCTCTCTATTAAGCCCCCCCTCCCTTATTTATTCTTCACTAATAAATGATAGACTGTATCAATCAACCACGACTGTAAAACTTCGTGTGGACTGATCCAGGATGGTTTATTTACCAACTGGAAGATCGGATTTGATTCTGATCCTCAGCTGCATGACCTAAAACTCCCTACCAGAAAGCAATTCTACCCCACCAAAATACAGAATTTTTACGTCATCTTTAAACCAATTTAAAAAAAACATGGCCGTCCTCACTTGGTATCACATCCAATATAGTAAATATTTTGTACAAAAATAACTACGTCTGCTACTTTTTTGAAGCCCCCAACATTTCTCTGGCGGTTTTCGTTTTTTTTAAAAGCAGACTCCCTTGCATCGTCAGCTTATACAGACAATGTCCGTTCTCTGCTTATGGTCATTCAGAAAGTCTGTGTGATTTACGTTCTGTTAGTTATGTGATTTTTTCTTTCTTTACCTTATTGGGCAGTGGATTTGCCCAAATTTTCAGGCAAATTGAGAAACTAAGCAATATAAATTTTATAGCATCAAGGCGGCATATTAAAAGCGCCTCACTTCGGGCAGATGGCGTCGCTCAAAAACGCCTCTGTTTAAGCTCCCTATTCTGACGAGAGACACCCCTGATTGACCCCTTAAAGCATTTATAGTCGGGAGAATTTGTTTAAAGATCAAAGCATTTTCTCTTAATTTGGCTGATCATTTCATTGACTCTCATTGCTTTTTTTCTTTTGCTTTTAAATGATATTGTTCGCAGAAAATTAGCCTGCTAGCAAGCTCTCTTAGGTGCTCTGGCGGCGGGGCGAAAGGAGAAAACTGACAATAAAGATTTAAAGGTTTACGGAGTGTCGCCCATCTTTGAACTTTAATTTCTTGAGCCTGTTCTTCAATACCCGCCTGCATAGCAGAGTTGGCGGGACTTGGGGCGCGCGACCGAGTAATTCCTTAGATGCTTTTATTTGTCGTTGCCTTGGCTGTATAATGTCGCGATCAGGAAGGGGATGAGTTGCACTCATATGCGGTGGCTGATTACCGCTAATTATATTAACCACCTGATTCTGCCAGTTACGTATAGGCTAGACTTGCCACAAGTCGACCTCACGAGTTTCTAAACGAGCGACGAAGTCGTCAGAGGTCTCGGAGGAAGGACTTTATGGAAAGTTCACTTATAGGTACCCTACGAGCAGAGGTCTCTCTCTTGCATGGCTTTTAGAGTGTACGAAGTCGCCGGTTCGCGTGGCTTGTCTGCCGTGTGGTTAGTTTCTTTACGCCCCGTGAGACGTAAACAAACTAACTACGCGACAGACAAGCCACGCGAACGACTTTGCAAACGCTAAAAGCCATGCAAGAGATTGACCTCTGCTCGCAGGGTACCTATAGGTTACCTAAATACTTACTTGAGTGTCAGGTTTCTAACCTAAACAAATGTGGCTAAGACTTTTTGAGTATAATGTCGACCTCTGGAAATGAGGTCTCCGTCGTTAAGTCAAGAAATGTCTTACATTTGTACAATAGAATCGTTATTTTCCCTTTTCTGCAGACTCATGAACTTCACAATATGCAGGATGTTCCTGTTGACCGAAAGGGAAGAGAAAAACATAGACCGTGAGTATCACTCAAAAAAATATTGTTTCCCTATTTTAAAATAACTTGGGAGGCAGAAGTAATAATTGCCTGCATAGAGCATACTTTGTGTTTAACATTATTTGTGCTTAAAAAGTTGTGTGCTCAAAAATTATATCAGTAAGGATGATGTTGCAGTATATTGTTTATTTCTATTTTTCATTTTTTCTGGGAAGATAAGCATCATAGAAGAAACACATCAAATGACATCTCAAGGTAACTATAAGTTGAATAATGTTCTCAGTACTGACATTCTAGAATCAGGTCTCCCTCTGTTTGTTCAAGTCCTCCAGATTTTCAACTATTTGCTTTTTCTGCTTAGAAACCAGCCTGTCACCAGTACATAGAAGAATCAGAAGGTAATAATGATTATTGAACAGTGGATGAACAGTCGAACCTCCACTTGGAGGTTACAGCAATTGCATCAAAGTCATTAACCACTTTTTTTTTACACTTAAGGCTAAAAGTAGCGATCTGGTGTTTGAAGATATTGACGATGACCTAGATCAAGAACTTGGTCACTTAACCTTAGGTATGGTAGATCTATACGTGTAAATATGATGGCCTGGAAGCTGTTTGATCCGACTGTAAATCGATTCGCCTCGGGATAAACCTCGATTTGTCCATTGTCAGTGTAAGACCTATTAAGATCAATAAAAGGAGGGTTTATTAACTCCAAAATACCCTAGCTAACACATTGAATCGTGTGAAGCTGCTGGTAACACTATACGGTCAAATCCCGCTTTACGGACACCTTTTTGATTAGGACGCCTTATTATTGCGAATAGTTTGCTTTGTCCCTGGCCTGGGGAAATAGAGCCCTTACATTTTCTCTAACTTCAACCCACTTTATACGGACACCCCGTTAATACGGACACTTTCTCGGTATCCGTGTTAATTGGGTTTGACTGTACACAGAAACAAATAAATCGTTAAGATCTCCCACCAAGAAAGGGACCGGTAAACGAAAACAAACAAGCAAACAAATCACTCCGTATGTGGACCTAGCGCTTGCGTTTGGGGCGGGGCTTGAACTTGCAAATCCAATTCCAGGGCTCTAACCAGCCTCTTACTCAGACCAGTTCGCGCTATCCGAGTTACCAGAGGAGGCTTGGAACCGAGCGCGATAGTGGGAGGCGTCCTCGACGAATTTTCCCGACAAGCTTGACAGGTAACGTCACACCCGAAATCGCCGAGGACAACTGGGGGCGAGGCTGTGTTCTAACCTCTCTGCCACGGTTCCTCCAAATGTAGGACTTACGTCCTTCTGCACTTAGAGTTTGGTTAATTGAAAGCTTCTATAACAAAATATTTTAAGTTTACTCATATTTTAGGTCCAAAGAAAATTACGCAACTTGATGTCCAAAACAAACCTATCACTTTGGAAACAGCAATGGTAGGTGCAATCTTATGGTCTTGAAATTTGCATGTAACTAGCGAAAACTTCCAGTGATTCTTTCTGTATGTTATTGTATTCTTTTTCGTCTTGTATTATGTTGAACGTTACATCGCCTATGCGTAATGTTTTGTCCCTCCTAGATTAGCTTAATAGCTATTTGCGGGGTATACAACACTGTAAAACTTTATCTTTTTTAATAACTGAACTGTTGTCGTTTTAATATTGTTGTTGCTGTCCATAAAAAGGCCGTTTCATCCTTTTTGTAACAACATTTTGAAGTCAATCTTATCAAGTCAAGGACTTTATTATAATACGGCCACCTCAGCCTATTACAGTCTACGCCCCTCTAGTCATTATCTTCGCAAGTGACTCCTAAAGAGAACGCCTTATCACGCTGGCTCACTTGATTTAGGCAATACCCTGAGTATCTAGTCGCCTATTTACTGGTGCATTTGTTGATCACATTAGGGCTTGAAGAATCTTATCTTTGGAAATGCCAAGTCGAGCTTTACACCAGAATGGAGAAATCAAAGCTTTTCATTCTGTGACTTATATGGACTGGAATACGGAATTGTACAACTAAAGTTAAGGTCAAATTAAAGCGAATATTTCGCCTGAATCTCTCGGATGAAAGGGAAATTGTTTGAACTATAGAACGGTCCAGTGGTCCAAGCTGCGACCGTTTTGGTTGCCATTGTGAGTAAAAAACAAAATTTTGTGATTAAAAGTGCAGCGAAAGTCGCCAATTGGGTACACATCTGTTTTAGGCGGTAATGCGGCCAAGCCGTTGCTTTTTCAATAAGTAAGTTTTCAGTGAGATAACATTTGCGTGAAATATTTATCAGTGATGCTCCGTGCGACCATTATATGATTTTAGGTTGCAAAAAGGCAACTCTGTAGCACTGAAACTCTTCAGATTTTAAAACAAATGAATGAAATAATGAATTCATTAAAGGAACCCTAGAGTGATCAGCCTCAAAGTTCTCCTTGTAGTATCTTAGCCATATAAAACAGAGTGAGTAGATTATAATATTAGGGGTTATCATTGTTGTTGTTGTCGTTTTTTTTTTTTCAGGGTGGACCCTGTGGAGTGCTCGCTGCTGTACAGGCGTTTGTCCTCAAGCATTTGCTGTTTGGCGGAAAGAAAGGGGACTCTAAAAAGTACAGTGCGTTTCAGATACAAGAGTATATGATGTTTACTCATTTTTTTCTTAGGGTATCTTTAAATACCAGGAAAATGTCTATTGGTTTTATGATTTAGTGTAGATTGTAAATATCGCGCCTTTTTCTTGCAATATTCTGTACCATTGACGTCATTTTAAATGGACTCAGAGCGGCTTCCAATGGCGCCTTTGTATGCTGATGTCCGAGCTTACTGTTCACATGTTAAAAAATGTTGTAAGAGGGCACGTCTGTTGTCCTTTCATCCACGACTCTTCATTCATTCATTTTACCGGATATCGCAAGCGTTATCCAAAGTTGGTCAACGCTAGCTGGTTATGAAGAATATTAAAGCTGGGGGATTTGAGCCAGTCAGAAACGGAGAAATTGAATGGCGATAATATTTTTCCCCATTTCCACTGTCATTTCCTTTCCTAGTAACAACTTCTGAGAATAACTCAGCCATGTCCTTTTTTATCTGCTGCTCCTCCACGGACGTGGCGGTTATGGAAACTATTTTTTTTTAATCTTTTAATAAATCCTATTTCATGTCCATTTTAGGAAACTTCAGCCTTCTTCCAGCGAAAGAATCAAAGCTCTTACATCAGCAATTAGTGAAATATTATGGAGGGCTGGTGACAGCAGAGGTGCAGTAGTCGCCTTGTAAGTTACTGTCGATTTTAGTTTATGCATTATTTAAAAAAACGAGCAGGAGTGTTGTGCTGAGTTTGAAACACGAGGCGCTGCCCTGAGTGATGTGTCGATATCGAGTGATTGTCATCGGGCACTCCACTCTGCTCAAGGTGGCCTCAGCCGAGTCGCATATCTGGACTGTCAGTGCCGGTAGTCTTCTGGTCAGCCATAATAGTGACTTTAAGATCCAACGACGCGGACGGCAACGCAAAAGTAGAAAAAACAATAGGTTTTATCATTGAACAAGCTGACGAAATTTTCTCTCTTTCTGAACATGGTTATGTTCCCTAGGAATTCAACTCCAGGAGGGTTCGCCTACATTCCACAAAGTAAGAGGGTAATGATTGCGATAAAGACTGAAAGAACGCAAATTCACTTTTTAAGCGACGTTCTCGTTGCCGTCGCGTCGTTGGATCTTAAAGTCCCTAATGGTAGCCTGCGTCGCAGACATAATCTTATCGCAGTTAGTAACGTCTGCGAAGCAGCCCCGAGGTTCTTGTTCGACGCTCCAAACGGACCTAATGAATCAGTTATCGGAAGGGCGTTCGGATTTTCCTTCAATTCACAACCCGAACAGGCCAATCACGGCGAGTACTCAATCCTGGTACACAGTAGGGGCCCAGAAGGCTCTGAAGTCCAACCAAGATTAGTTTGCGAGGCGCTCTGGCACAGAAAGTTGTTCTGCTCAGTGTGATATCTTGAACTAGATAGCGACCTCGCACGATTTGACTACGAATACGAATTTTCGAGTACCAGTGAATCTTTAGAATTCCCAACTTCTTTTATCCTCCGAATTATAACCCTTTCATGTTGCTAACCAGATCGGTGTTTATATGTTACTTAATTATAATTGACACAGGAAGTTGGTTTGAAAACTGGCAAATGTACTTGTACTACAATCTAAGGGTGCGGCCCGTCCCGATGACAAACGCCAAAAGTCGAGCCTTTTGGTACGTAATTTTACCGTTCTCTGCGTAAAAATTGCTTTTGCTGAATGTGGCGAACTATTGAGTGGGTGACCACAAGACGACGAATGTTCCCTCCTGTTTTTGATCGTTTTTTGATCGCTGAAGCGATCAAAAGTTGTTTTCGCTGTCGTCGTCGTCAATGCTTAAGCTCTTCGAATTACTTCACTTGAGACCATCGTAATAGAAAACAAAACCAAAATAAAACATCAAACACAAAAAATCAATAACAACAAGCAAGACATGGCCTTTGGTTTTTCCTTTTATGGGGTTGTTAGTTTTGCTCTTACAACTCAAAATTAAGTCAGTCACTTCACATCCTCTGATTCATTTCTCACGCCCCAAGAATAGCGTCGCTTGAAACAAAAATCGTTCAACATCTTTGCGGATGGAGCAATCACCAAATCAAGTAACACAAAATATCGAAAAGACACCTTAACTCGGTAGCTACAATAATTTCGACAACACCAGAAGTTACATCCCATTTAGTTAATTCTCACAATTTTATTTCAGACCTACTGGTGGTTATTATGTTTTTGGTGCTGGGCGATACAAACCGGACCAGTTAACAGAAGCGGTAAGTACTGTAATTTCCCATAAGATAACCCGACGCCTGCCCCCTGACAGAACGTTTTAAAGCAAGATGGGACATTTCACGCCAAAATGACTCGATCGTGACATTTTTACGGGAAAATAGGGGGCCTGCACTGTAAACAGTGTTGCACTTGTATTGAGAAGTCACTTTCCTCTTCGTCAAGGGTGCCTTCGTAATACATGTTTGGCTTTACTGAAAGAGATCGGTCTCCGCAATAGTGTTCGCATTAAACCTCTTTAACGAATATTGTTCATGGTGGATGTGAGATTTGCAGGTAGACTGTTTTTACTGTAATTGCTGCCATAATGCAGTAATGGTATTTTGTTCCTACACATTTGCTCAGGGGATTCTGCTCAGGGTAGATTTTAGCTGTTCAAACCTGGGTTAAGATGGCAAAAGGAAAGAGTGAAGTCTGAATTCAGGTTTGAAAGCTAAGAAACATGGAAAATTCAGTTAAATTCTTTTTGTCTACACACTGATGATTGCATACTCAAAAAAGAATAGAAAAAATGTTTCTGAGAAAATGCTTTATTTAAAACGAAAAAGAAAGCGAGATAAAAATTTAACCCCGAGTTTGCTCTAATCGGCCTTCGAACACCTGGGCCCTGCAATGAAAGCGATTGCCTCTTTGTTATTAAATTAGACAAGACATGCCCAACTGATGTCCAAACGCAGTTAAGATTTCGCTGAACGTGGGCCAATTTTAGTTGGACTTTGTTCGATGACCAACTATTATTTGCAGCCCTGCACGATTGATAAAAATGGGCCTTGTTTGTTTTCTTACATCAGGCTATTTTTTCTGTTGTACTAAACTTGCAGTTTTGTAATTGTGAGTTAATTGCATGTGGTGACTTTTTTTCTGTATTCCACAGCTTGTGTTATACACCTTCAAGTCTTCTGAAAGTCTTCTTAGTTTTATCTCGCAAAATATATTGCAGGTACGTAGCATTCTTACTAGGTTACTCTATTCTTACCTGTTGTATGTCTGTACAATTAGCAATTATTGAATGAGCCTGGATAAGGTGATTTTTATTTCTCCTTTTAACGAGGTACCGTAGCTTACCTTTTAACCATTGTATCTGTTTGATAATGTTGCTTTAAAAGGATTATTTTATTAAGCGTAAATTATTAGTGAAACGATTACTGAAGTCAGTTTACTTAACAACAAAAGTGGTACTTTATCTGCCACCAACGACAAATCGCGATATTTCCAAGTGCTTGGCCTTGTCCGATAAATGCTTATTGCTTGGAAACAAAGCCGAAAGATAGCGGTCTGTAATATGCCCCTTCATTCTCAATGGAGCAAATCAGAAGAGGGGCGTTTGCTTGCTGCTTATGGCTCACTTGCACCAACATTGCCAACGTGACGTCATGGAAGGTCCTTATTAGGCTTGTTCAATCCAGTTATTCCGACCGTAATCCTAAACATGACTTTCAATGGACAGATTTGTTGGACTGAATACAGTTACAGTCGACCGAATGACAAAACGTCGGTATCGTCAGTCTAAATAAAAGGTGTTTAGACCGCGTCTCCAAGTTAAGCGATGTATCGTTTTTCAGTGCATCTGGTTTGCCAAATTTTCGTCGTCCAATTCCCGTATCACTTTGGTAATTTCACCCTAGATCTCCATTTCGTTTGCCACTAAATTTTCGGATCCCGAAAAGCCTACTGAGGACCCACCCCGGAGGGGTATCTCATATGAAAGGGGCGGGGATACTCGCCGGGAATTTTGAATTACACCCCTAAAGGAGACCAACCTGGGCGTGGCCCAACCTTATTTTGACCCCTAAAAGAGACCATTTTAAAACAGAGACATTTTGTTACAATAATCTTTAGGTATTGATGTTATACTGAGAACTTTGATTACATGAATCGAGTATATTGAAAATATATAATTTTGTTTATATTTCTTGTTTTGCCTAGAACATCCTAAGTGAGACCAAAATCCGAAATTTGCACCCTCTAGTTCTTCTTCAGCGTCAGGCGCTTGCCGGTCTAAAATTACAATGGGTTACTAGAAATGTTATCACAGGCATATTAACAGCTTATACTATAAGAGCCAAACGTAATCCTAAATTATGTACTTTCCGTATTACTGCATCTCGTCTAGAAATAAATCCACTTTTTGTCCATTTTCAGTTTGAGTCTGATAGTAGCAGTGGATGTATTTTACTGTTGTATTCTGTCATATTGTCCAGGTCAATACGAAAGTAAGTATTGCTCTAGTAAATGATATTTAACCCTTTAAGCCCTAATATTCACATACAAATTCTTCAAACTAATACTAGATATTTCCTCAAAGAATTAGTTGAGAGAATGTGATATAAAAAATCAAAGCATTTTCCTTTCAATGATCATTTCTTTAATTCTCATAACCTTTAGTCTTGATTTGTATCGATATCGTGGGGAGAAAGTTGATGTTGGTCACTCTTGGGACTTATAGGGTTAAATGAATGATTTAGATGTAGCGTATCCACATGGTTGTTCTTCGTCTACCACTCCTGATAAGGATTGCCATTTAGTGCCGGGGGGCGGCCATTTCCCCCGGCTGTTATGAGTATGACCCCTGGCCACTTTCTTAGGACACAAAAGGAAATAGAACCAAAGAACCTCCTAGCTGTTAAATCCCCGCCTTCTAATAAGTGCATATGCATGGCACATTGCTTATCTTGTGACTTACGTTGCATCTCATGCTGGCATTTTGAGCTGATCTTTGCGGATCAGGTGTTTTATTCCAATCTTTGCGGATTCTGGCTCCCACCCCCTCCCTCCCCTTTTTGGGTTTGTCCGTTGGTAAGTATGGGGTCAGGTGAATATTTTCCACTGAATTTCCTTCAGTGTGACGGTGCCAGTTGGCGGCTGCATGCAGGGGTGGTTCCCGCTTGCAGGGTTGCCATGGATACCTCCTTGCTATGTCTGAGGCGCTCAGGCTCCCGTCCAACCATTAAGGCACCAGTTCTCAAGTTCATCTATTGGCGATGAGTTTAACGGCAAATAGTTGACTAGGGGCAAAGAAGTATCAATGTCAGTAGAAATCGAGAGTAAGCCTTTGTGTTATAATTTCGAGAAAAATAATCTGCTAGTATTATATTGCAAGTTTAATGTAAGGGAGTTTCTGGTGATTTTTATCAAGTATTTAGTGGCCTTAAACTTTTCTTGTTGTTGTTGTTTAAGAGTGATATCTGATATGGATGAACCTCAAGGCAGGCTGATGGGTGCTCACGGCTACTGCACGCAGGTTAGATTTTCAATGCAGTACCTGTATACTAAAATCTTTTCATTTACGGGTATCACTCTGACGACGACGACGAGGATGATGATGATGATGATTTCCCCGACGTTAATCTTAAATGGAATGGATAGTCTTTGTAGGTTATGCCTTCGCGTGCCTATTTATTTTAATAGAATGTTCAATATTATAATTTTTTTGTATGTCTGCTAACACCATTCTTAGCGCAGTTTTCCCAGGTGCGGTGGTAAGGTGTTCCCTTAGTCCCTTGATGTATCATACAAGTGTTTGTTACTTTGTTTGGTTGTCTGTTTCCGTCTTTCTTTCGTTCTTTCTTAATAGCTGAAATTTCGTCCAGTTTGAGTTTCTTTTTCATTAATTGCAGCAAAAGTCTCATTCTCGTTCTTATTACATGTATTGTCCTTTACAGGAACTGGTGAACTTGTTAATAACTGGAAAGGCTGTCTCAAACACATTCGATAACATCATGGAAGTTGATACAGGGGGTTCGAAAAAGGTGTAGTATTTAAGACGATGTCATGAAGGATATTTTTCATCGTGGTTAATGTGTTTAAAGGGTTCCGTTTATCGTTTGTCCCAAGATTGTCACTACTGATCGCTACTTACTTAGGTCCTCGTCAGGCGATAAAGTTGATTTCCTGAGTGAGACTGTTTGTACCCCACCCCCATGGTTGTTAATGATTCGTGTACAGTCACCTACGTTTTACGGACACCTCGCGAATTCGGGACACTTTCTATGGCTCCCTTAGTGTCTGTATTCACGCGGTTTGGCTGTATCACGCACCTAAAGCGATTTTTACTGATATGTGAAAATTTTCCTTGTCCTCGGAGAAAAAAAGCCCTTACTTTTTCTCTTAATTCAACCCGTGTAATACGAATACCCCGTTAATACGGACACTTTCTATGCCCCCCTTAGAGTCCGTATGTACGGGGTTTCACTGTATCACGAACCTAAGACGATTTTCACATGTGACAGTTTTCCTTGTCCCTGGAGAATGAAAGCCCTGAGATTTTTCTTAATCAACCCTCCTAATACGAACACCTCGTTAATACGAACACTTTCTATACCCCCCTTAGAGTCCGTATGTACGGGGTTTCACTGTATCACGAACCTATTGAAGATTATTTTCAGTAATATGTAAAACGGAATTACAACGATTCAGTGTGATACAACCCCATCATCTCGAGAATATCTGAAGGAATTCCCCTTATTCTCTGCAACTGCTGATGCCTCTTAGTTTCTTTAAACATTCTGTTTAATCTTTCGACGTGAACGTCTTATAGTAAGGTTTTTTGCTTCCCTATGAATGCTAACATTTACCGATTTTTTTTTTTTTTAGAATGTCTTCAAAGGGATAGATAAACAAAGTGAGATCGGGTTTCTGTCCTTATTTGAACATTACAAATCATGCGAGGTTGGTGATGACTAGATATATTAGCGAGCTTAAGCAACGGTGACGGCGACGGCGACGGCAACGAGGACGGGAAAAAAGCAATAGGTTTAGAGCCTGTTTACATGGAGGTGGGGGACCCCAGGTAGGGGAGGTAACCCGCTTAGGTCGGGTAACCCACCTCTCCATATAATCTCCCATTTTAATTTGATCACGTTTACATGATAGGTGGGGTGACCCGCTGTATGTTACCTCACCTATCTGGAGTCCCCCACCGCCATGTAAACAGACCCTTAGATTCGCAAAACAATACGCTTTTTTGTGCATTTCTTCGTCGTCGTTGCACGACTACAATGTGAAGGTGTCTAATTTCACGTTTTGTCGAGGACGAGAACATGCGACTTTCTTTTCCTGTACTTTGATACAGTCCTTTAGAATTCAACTACAAAAAATTTGCCAACATTTGACGAGTTAAACGAGATGCTATAAGCGCGATAAAATTTGAGGCAACGCGAATTCACTTTTCAGGTGACTTTTTCGTAGTCGTTGTTGTCGTTGTTGCTTAAGCTGCCTATTTCTTTGTGTAGAGAGGAAAGAAGGGGGGCGAGGGTGTGATGAAAGGGGCCGGGAGGTGCTTACCCACTGTCACCGTCTTTAGGGAGTTTAAGCAGCTACGTTTTTGAGCGACGCATGTCAACCGGAAGTGAATTTTTTTTTCTATGTGCCTTTTCTCTTATGTGTTCAAAATCACGGCTCAAGAGTGCAAAAAGTACACTTCCGATTGACGTGCGTCGCTCAAAAACGTCGCTGCTTAAATTGCCTTTTATTTTTCTGCACACCTCCAAGGCTGCTTCCTGTTCCTCCTAGTTTAAGTGGAACAGAACTCGTTGTTCTTCTTTAATACATTGAGGCAAACCTTAGGGTGGAGCTCCCGTCCATAATAGTGGACCTTGGAAATGAACAGACTGTTAGACGTTTTCGTAGCCGTCGCCGTCGCCGTCGCCGTCCTTGTTGCTTGTTGCAGGCATTAACTCGTCTGGATAGAGCCAAGCTCTGTAGATAGGCTGGTTGACATACGTTGGTTTACAACGTCCCGAGTAGAAAATAGAGGCGCCTGAAACAATCCAGATTATTATATGGAAATCAGGCTTAAGGTTTAACCCTTTATGTCCCACGGGTGACCAACATCAATTATCTCCTAACAATATTTGTACATTATCAAGAGACCGGGTTATGAGAATTAATAAAGTCATCACTTAAGTGAAGATGCTTTGATCTTAAATCATATTCCCTCAACTTGTTTTTCAAGGAAATGTAAGGAGATCAGTGTGAGGAATTTTTATGTTGATATTGGGGCTTAAGGTTTAACCGGCGTATAGTTCAAAGGAGCAGTTTTGCTACCCTGCAGAACAGGCGTTATTTTTCGCGTTTCTCAAACAAACTGCTGTGATAAACATATAAGGAAATATAAACGCATTTTTGTTTATCACCGCTGTTTGCTTTTTGTTTCTTCTTCAGCTTAAATGGCCAAACAACATGAGTATCTACGATGTACTGACAAAATTCATCATTTCATTTGTTACAGGTTGGTGTGAATTACAAGACTCCCAATTATCCTATTTGGGTGATATGCAGCGAGAGTCACTTCAGTGTCTTGTTCTCTATCGACAGAAACCTCTTGGACGACTGGTAAGCTTATAATGACTAGTAAATGGCCGTATTTGCACTAGAAACGGATTATCCGTTGGATAATTCGCGTCAGACAGATAATACGTCTTAGTTTTGGATGGACAATCCACCTGACTTCATCCATCTGTATTTCCTTCAATTTTGACGGATTTTCAAGATGGATTATCCGTTTGAGACGGATAATCCGTCTCCAGTGTGAAAACAGCCATTGATACTAGCCAATTTACGGCATTTGAACTTATCAGCCTGTTTTTATTCTTCCTAAAGACTTCTATTCTTTGATGTTGTCACTGAAAGCCATTTATGTAGTAATGAGGAGTTTTATTCCTTCCGTTTTGTTAAAAACACTGATGGTGTAAAAGGGATGCTACGTCCTGGTCACTTATAGTGCTTTACCGAAGCGTTAGAAAATTACGTCTATCAGCGACCAGTTTAAAGGCAAATGATGATGGTCGGACACCAACTGTATGAAGGAGTGGGAAACTGTCCACTTACCCCTCCCCTAAGCCAACATTAACACTTACTTCTCACTTAGGGCAAAATGTTGGCTCAGGGGAGGGGTAGGTGGGCAGTCTCCCAGAAACGTATAATGATCAGATCAAAGCGTGCAAACTCAGAGGCAACGTTTTGGTATCGAGGTTTCTCGGTTACTGACCACCTACCCCTCCCCTAAGTCGACGTTAACTTTTATTTCTCACTAAGGGTAAAATTGTTACATAGGGGAGGGGTAGGTGGTCCAAGCTTTGGGCACCTCCAAGGGAAATTGGACCCAGAGTACTCTTGTTAGACGCTTATACTAAGCTTAGCAAGCCATGGTGCCCACACCACCGAGGCTTCTCCCAGTCTCTTCAGTATGAGAAACCTGGGTGTAATGCTTTCCTCCCCCGCCATCTCTCCCGCTAGGAAAGGAAACTTCTGCATGTGGGCTATCGCAGGGTTACCGCTAGCAGTATGTCGCCGGGTTCCGTTAATACACATGAGTGAGGAGAGACAACGTTAAGGAATGAACGCGATGGCAGGGCTTGAAACCTGAACTACGGATCCGAAGCCAGAGGTCCTTGCTGGCCGGAAGTCCTAGTCATAATTGTTGAAGCACTCGCGGATTTCTTCGCCCCTTCCGCTTCAATGATTATACAAAAAAGTCCAAGCAATCTCTTAAAACCAACACTGGGAGAAGGAGACCTCAAGGGAATCGGAGCTTGTATTCGTGGAATGACTTGGTTTATCTTGTTTTTTCAAGATTATGATAGTGATTGCAGGATTGGATGTGTGGATAATGTGCTATCTAACTGCAATATAGGAGTCGATGTAGGCTCTAACGATTGATTGTTTGTTTGATTGATTGATTGATTGATCGATCGATTAATTGATTGACATACACAGGAGGTTAGAGAAGAAGTTTGATCTTTATTACTATGATGGTCTGGCACGGCAGGATGAGGAGTTAAGATTGACAGTTGGTGAGTAAGCATTACTTCCTCTAAACTGCCATAGTGTAAGCTATATGGTCTTGCTTGGGTACATAGCTGTTACAGGCTAGCTAATGGCCTAGAAAAAAGATACTTCAAGGTCATGAAAAAGTCAGGGAAGTTATTTTGAGTCAGGAAAAATTGAAATACTTAACAAAAACTAAGGGAAAATTGAAATTTTAATTCCACGGGTTAAATACCATTAATATGGAAAAACGCATTTCAGGTTAATATAATCTCAGAGATGTCTTTTGTTGATGAAATTACGATAGCGTCCCTGTAATATGTATGACATCATCTCATTTCAACTGAAGCCTCCTTTTTCATGAAAGAAAGATAAAAAGGCGTTTTGCAAATAAAAACAAGAAGAAAAAAAAGAAAAGAAAAAAATCAACACTATGAAAGCGTATTACAAAACGTACATTTTAGGTGCCTGAAAAAGCCGTTTAATTGTGGACGGCAGAAGACTTAAAACGGAGAAAAAAATGGTTTCAAAAATATTCGGATACGTGTGGACGGAGCCTTTAAGTAATTTCATCTTTCTCTTGATAAAGATACAACAAAAGAATGCCCAGAATACAAGGACACTGATCTTGTGCCTCCACTGGAACACTGCATACGAACAAGGTGAGACCACGTGACAGAGTTCATTGTCAGAAAAGTGGACCTTTCGATTCAGGGTTTTGAATTTGGCCGCTTGGCACAAAAACGCCGTGCTTGGAGGCAAGAAACCTACTTGAACAAGAAGGAGAAAGTAAATTTCCAAATAAAATAATATAAAGTCTGTTTTTCTTGTCGTTCTGGTACGTTTCTTGCTCTCCATCAAATCGTTTTTGTACCCCGTCATTCATGAGTTTGAAAAGGCCCATAATGGGATCATTCTTTAACACAGCGGTGTTTTTCCAGGCTCATTTTCAACCGTCAGGCAATGTGTCTGATCATTCAAATTAAACCTCGTCAGCCCTACACTGTACTTTCACATGTTTCCATATCTTGAGTGTAGTTCTAACTTTTAAGTCTGTGGATGAAATCCTCGCTATGGTGTTACCATTCAAATGAAACCTCTTTAGCAATACTAGCCTGCGTAGCAAGCGTTTCCTCGCAAGGTTCGTCTAGAAAGTAGGGGCAAGAGCAAAAAAAAAAAAATGAATGACGGGGGAGGGGGAGGGGAAAGAAGGAACCGCTTGCCCGCAAACCCTACGATTTTGAAAAACTGCGTTCGCCCACGAACGCAGCTTCTGATTGGCGAGGTGCGGGTAGTGTTGATTACTTAGCATTCGAAACATCAATCAAACCAGGTATGCTTTGTTTTCGTGCGTCACAGATCTGGTCTCATCTGATTTGTGGTCGCAGATTACAAATGCTTTGGACTGATATTTATTGGAATCGTGTTTGTGCGAAGGTTTATGAGATCAGAGTCTTCAAAGTATAATTGGAGATCGAGCAGTGGAGACTAGGGAAGGCCAATTTATTGAGAATGACAATTGAGAATGACGGCGTGCGGATCTGACTGGAAAAAATGGACTGTTTGTTGGAGATAACATCAACATAAATCAGAACATCGGTACTCGACACTAGCTGAAGCCGCCATGGACAAGCGATCTGTCAGCGTTTTGAAATGAAAAGATTCTTTTTGTTTATTGGAAATTTAGCGGCATCTATTGTAGAGAACGTTTCGACACAGGCTGAAGAGCAGCCGCTCTGCAAAACTTATACCCGGCGGAGTGAATTGTTCCGGACAAATCATTTTTGACGTGTCGACAAGGTTTCAGACGAGATAAAGCCACACGATAAAAAAACAAGAAATTCCGCAGCAATCGCTCATGGTTTTAACTTTCTTTTATCGTAAATCTTTTTTATTACAGTTCTTGCAATCGCCTGCAACGTGTTCTTTTAGAGAACAAAGTAATTTTACAAAACTGGTAATCCAGGGGTAATCTGTTCGTTATGTTTCTATTTTGACGAGCTGTCAATTTACAAATGAACCGAACCGTGAAATATCAAGGGGCGTTTTCCAGAATCGTGGGGTTTGCGGGCAAGCGTTTCCTCTTCTCCCCTCCCCCTCTCCCTTCAACCTTTTTTTTGCTTACGTTCTAACTTTCGCGCAATAACTCGATTGGAAACGCTTGCTACGCAGGCTATAGCAATGCTTTCAGATGTTTCTTTTAATTTAGTATGCAGCTGTTACGTTTGAGTCTGTGGACGAAATACTACGACGTGATCATTCAAAAGAAACCTTTTAAGCAGTACTTTCACGTCGTGATGGTATTGTTTTTGCGTGTGGTGCCTAGTTTGTCGGCAAATTTTTAAGGTGTTACTATCCAAAAACCTATTGCTTGCTCGTTAAAGTGGTTTTTGGAATCTTTTTGGTTATGAAATGTTTAGTCGTTTTAGGATTTCTTCTACTGACGCAGAAACAGGCGTGTTTGATGTATTTGTTGATGTGTCGGGCTGAATAAAAGCTAGAAATATTTTATGCACCAAGTCAAAAGATATTTTTTAACTGAGCGGATTCTCGCGCGCTGATTGGTTGAGAGCTTTGTTCGAACAGAGTGCAGACCATGGAATAACGTCATGATGGCGCAATTTGTTTTTCTCTTTCTCTCGCGCGCGATTTTCCGAGAAACTTCAACGTGAATGGACGCCAAAAACTGGCAATGTTATTGTAAGAAACAAATCGACAACAATTTTCTATGGTCTGTACTCTTGTCTACAATATAAATGACGTCAAAATGTTCAAAACTTTGCAATGAAACCGCGGCTCCTGGTTCCACTTGAGTTTTGAACATTGTGACGTCATTTCTATGGTAGATAAGTTTACAGACCAAGGATTGTTAAAACCAGCTTGTAACATGACGCAGAACGCAAAAGTTGGCATACGGTAATTCAGCGTCCTTGTCCTAAGATAGTAGTAGACTATTAAACCCTTGTGTATTTTTTTTACTGATCGCACAGGTGGAAGAATGCTGTCATAGACTGGAATGGATCCGAACCTATCTTATGATGTTGGCCCCTTTTTGTAATCAGGTATCAAAGCCAGAGGACTAAAGAATCAAGACCAAAAATCCTGTTGTTTACAGGACAGAGGACTCTATTCACTGGATAAATCTGCTTCTTTTTGGTTAGATGATATCGTGAATTTTCCTCATAGTGGCAATCGCGACTTTCAAGTGTTTAACTGGAAATTAACTCTCCTCATAAAATACACTTTAATAAAATGGACGCCTCTCTGTTACGGAAAAACTTCATAGTGAATAGGGACCTAACGATCCGACAATGGCGACGTCCACGAAAAAGTCGTTAACCAGACTTCGCAACCTTTCAAACTTTTTGGCGATTATCCCTAAGTTACTTAAAGAAGAAAATTTAAGTTGAAACTGAAGAGAAGAGACTGCGCCCGATATTAAGACAGAGGTGTTAGAATTTATTGCTTTGTCCGGTTCCCGTTCTCAAATGAACGTAAAATTTGGCCTTGTCATGTCTGTAGTTGTGAAGGGACGGCAACAAAATTAACCAACAATCGTGATGCACGCGCAAAGTCGTGTGTGCTCATTAAAACTGATGCTTTTTTGACGTTCCCGTTAACGTTGCCGTCGTATTATCGTTAGGTCCCTAACGATACCGTCGAACCTCAATTAAGCGGCCATTCTCGGGGTACAGCATAATCTTTAGCAGCAACATCACTTTATTTTGAAACAAATCGTGACGGAGGAAGCATTTCTTGTCAACAATCGGTTGTAATCTTCTATCTTTGGACTGTATTTTCCTTCATCATGTTCTTGAAATAAAGCTAAACTAAGTGTATCAAGCGCTTGATGGCCGCTTAATGGAGGTGTTCGCGTTGGAATTTGTGAGTATATTACTTCAGATGGTTGCTCAGGCGGTAAAAAATGCGTCTTCACTTTTATTCAGCGGTCATAGCGAACTCGAATACACTTTAATAACCCTACTTAAAGTACCTACCAACTCGAAACTGGACTATTGCTCAAAAGTGTTACGTTTTGAGCTTGGGTATTAGAAAAATCCCTTTTCAGTCAGGTATTAGTAAATCAGAAGGAAAATAGTGTCAAGTCGGTCCGCTTTATCGAGAAATTATAAGCGCACCTGTCGGTCGCGATGACCGTTGTGTTGTATCAAGTATAAACATATTCCCAAATGTTGCTTTCAAAATTAAATATTTATGAAGTCATATGGACAAATGGCTCTGGCTTTTTAGGCAGGGAATAAACGGCCTAATAATAAGGAGACCTAAGCGTGCGGGTAATTTTTTGCATAGTTCGTCAACATGCGAATCATATGCCATGATTTTGCTGAAAGTTTTACCTGAAGTTCTGGTGAAGAGACTGGGCTGTGTGTTGACCGGGCTTCCTGGCGTTATGCTTCCCTGTAACAGGCCTCGTCATTTTTCAAGGTTTGTCGTTCAAATGGAACCTTGTGTGCGATAAATAGAGGTCGGGGATTAATAAGTACGAAAATTAATCGATATCAAGAAATGTTTATTTCTATGAGCCCAACTTGAGGCGTGCGTTATATCTGGACTCCCCCAGGTATCTGTGCTAGACCCCCTTTGATTTACAGTAAGCATATGAGCAATCTTCCACTTCTACTGGCTTCTCCTGAGGGCAACGCATATAACAATGCGACACAGTTCACTGACGTTTAGCCTGCAGTTCGTTCTTAAGAACGTTGAAGATAAAATGTTTTTCAATGAAAGGAAAGAAATGGCTGGGTCGTGGTGTCATCATGTAAAATGTCAAAGCTTCCATATAATCTCACTTACTGTATTACCATCAATGAATCTCAAATCAAAATGGAAAGTACCATCGGAAAAAATTATAGGGAGTTCATACTGGCGAAACGTTGCACTGGTTTATGCACTGTGTATCCTGCGACGTATTCGGCACAAGTGACAAATGAGGCCCTCGTAGCCCTCTATAATTGCCGTATACTGTCGCTAATGGATTACTGCTGAGTAGTGTAGGGGAAATACCCCACAAGAAATAAAATCTTGATAGGTTTCATTGCCTTCAGAGAAAGAAACTGGACGAAAAAATGAATATGAATCAATTTTTTCGTGCTACATTAAAACTTGTTTCAAGTAATTTGTAGAATTTATTGGAATCCTGTCTGTATAAATTTTTATCCAACAAAAAGAATCTTAAAGGAACTTAGGTCCCCCCCTATGTTCTTTGCTGTGTGGAGTGCTTGCGGCTGAACATGAGAAAAGACTCATTTTTAACTTGTAACCAGTTTCCCCACGGTCGAGCCTAAGTGAGGCTGGCTCGAAAGTATCCCACTCACCTAAGAAGGCTTTGGGTCCGGATCATTAAGTATTTTAGGTAAAGTTTTTTTCAGTCTATGATTAATAAAAACCGCACCGGCGACATTGTACTATTTATAATGGTAAGAGAATTCACCGGTTCAAAAGCGTGCATGAAGATTCACCGAGGACCGAAATCTGCAAAAACTGTAATGCTTTCACTAGTGATTGGCTTGTAAGCACCTAATCCATATTCATGTAAATTTCGAAGCCTGACACATGCAGAGCAAGATTTCAGATAAATTAAAACGTTGAAGTGTACGGATGAATTCCTGCCCTGACTTGCTGAAAAGTCCCGCCAGGAAAATTTT